CTTGTCAGTTCTGAATGGGAAGCTGTTCTTTTGGCTTATTTTACTTTTCAAACTATGAATCTGGTAAAAATTCTTCCATTAAGCTCAGTGTTTATAATTTTTAAAATTCATTCACTGTCGGGACATGGCTATTGTTGGTATTTCTAGCGTTTTTGCCCAATCCTAACTGCCCTTGGGGAGATGGTGGTGAGCTACCTTTTTGAACCTTGGCAGCCCGGTGATGAAGGAACAACAATATATATCTAAGGCCCGATGGTGTGTGAAGTGGAGGAGTACTCAGAGTGATCCAATACATCACTTTCTTTCTAGTCATTTTAATCTAGAGCACAGGTGATGAGATATTATTTTTGACCACCTTAAAGATACTCTCTTTCTCATTCATATTGTAGATCTTGCCCATTGATCATCAAAACCTATCCACTCTCTGACTGTGACTCCCCTTGGCATTTTTTAAGACTTGCACATTCTCCATATGTATCACTTTTCTCTTGAAGGGGAACCGCAACAGTCAATCTCAATTTCCTTCGCCTCCTGAGGAAGTAGAGGCGTTGCTGTGCTTTCTTGACCATAGGGTTAATGTGGGCGGACAAGGTCAGATCGTTGGTGACCGTCATGCCCAGGAACTTTGTTGGGGAAGGGGGAATAAAAGTTTGATTTATTTGAAGACTTTTCATTATTTCTCAGAAAACTATCCAGCAGCTAACACCTCTCACCTTTCATCAACCCTCCTCAAACTTCTGTTTATCTTATTCAACATCAAATCTATCCTCGGGTCACCTCTCCGGCTAAAGCTGCACCCGGGAAGCTCAATATTCTTTTCCGTTGCAAACATTCTTTTTCGCTTAAATCCTCAATGCTGTATAAAACTCCAGGTCTATCCAAGACCTGTGTACGGTCTTCAAGGCTGTGGAGATTCTTCTTACACCTTTCTCGCACTGTCAGCGTAGGACAGGAGAAAATCTGCAACCTCACATAATCTGCTCCCAGAATCTTAGGACTATGAGATTTCTCATTTCAGTGTACAAGCCTCGAATTAAAAATATCCACAAGACCTTCATAACCCCAACAGGGTGCCACCCAAATTGTCATTCTCTCCTACTTAGCCTGACTCAGTTGGTAATACTCTATTGTCTGGGTCACATGGTTCAATAAAGGTTCATCCACATTGATACTGGGTTTGTCCTATGAAAAGTTATTGAGCAAAACTGTCCTGAATTGTCTGATGTTTCAAAGAGTGAGAGACGATCTCACTGAAAGCCAGAAAATTTGATTTGATTTAATTTAATACTTCATGTGCACTGAGGTAGAGTGAAAAGTGTTGTCTTACATGCTTTACAGGCAGATCGTACTATACAAGTGCATCAGGGGAACAGAACAGAGTGCAGGGGACAATGTTAACCGCTGCTGAGAAGGTGCAGAGAGAGAGAGAGATCAACATTAACATTAAACAGCACCAATCAAACAGTTTGATAACAGTGGGGAAAAAGCTGTTCTTGAATCTATTCGTATGTGTATTCAAACTTTTATATCTTCAGCCCAAAGGAAGAGAGTGGAAAAGAGTATAACTGGGGTGAGAAAGGTCTTTGATTATGCTGGCTGCTTTCCCCAGGCAGGGGGAGTTAGAGATGAGGTCAATGGATGGAAGGCTGCTTTGCGTAATGGATTGGGCTATGTTCGTTGCTCTCTGTACATAGAACCTAGAACACAGAACACACAGCACAGTACAGACCCTTCGGCCCAAGGTGTTGTGCCGACCTATTATCCTACGAAGATCAAACTACCCTGCATACCCTACGTTATGCTATCATCCATGTGCCTATCCAAGAGTCACTTAAATGTCTCTAATGTATCTGTAGTTTCTTGTGGGCTTGGGACTTGCCACACCAAGCTGTGATGCATTCAGATAGGATGCTTTCTGTAGTGCATTTATAAAAAACAGTCAGAGTCTTTATGGAGTCCTTAGCCTCCTGAGGAAGTGAGGCGTTGTTGAACCTTCTTGACCGTGGTGTCAACATGGGTGGACCAGGGCAGATTTTGGTGACCATTATGCCCAGGAACTTGACTATCCCCACCTCAGGACCATTGAAGCAGACAGGAGCGTGGAGAGATTGTTGTCTTTGCACCATGCCATTAAGCTGTCTATCTCCTTCCTGTACTCCGTCTTTGCAAAAGCTTGAGGATAAAGAATAACAGCAGACACCAACTGCAGCTGAACCAAGAAATAATACCAGGGCTTGCAAAAAGGTGAGTCTAAATTATGACGGAGTCTTAAAAGGATACAGGTAAGATGTTCCTCTTGGTTGGGGAACCTAAAACCAAGGTGGCATTATTTAAAAATAAGGGGGATGCTACTGAGGTCTGAGATCAGGAGATATTATTTTACTCAAAGAGTCGTGAACCTTTGAAATTCTCTCCCACAGAGGGCTGTGGAGGCTCAGCCGTTGAGTATGTTTAAGGTACAGAGTTGATAGATTTCTGATCAGGGCTGTAGGGATGTGGTGAGTAAATGGCATTGAAGTGTTTGGTCAGCCATGGTGGTCTTGACGGACAGGCCAAGTTTGACAGGCCAAATGGCTTCCCCCTGTTCCTATATCCTATGCTCTAGTCCCACAAAAGTCCAGGCTGACACTCCAATGCAATACCGAGGGACTGCTGAGCTGTCATCTTTCATATGGGACGTTAAACTGAAGTGGTGTCTGGGTGGAAGTGAAAGATCCTGTTGCACCATTGCGAGGAAGAGCAGAGGAGCTCTCACGCCAAGTCCTGGCAACTACTTATCCCTCAAGCAACATCCCAGAAACAGATCACCTAGTCAATATAACAATGGTCTCTGCGGGGACTTACTGTGTGCAAATTGGCTGCAACGTTTCCTACATTACACTGTTGCTTAAGAATTTTATTTCCTGTAAAGTTCTTTGAGGCATCAAGCAGTTTGGTGCTATATAAATGCAATTTTTTTTTTAGTTTCTGCATTGTTACTTGTTGATTCCCCACTGCATGGATTTTGAGTGAGGACAGGATTAGACTTGGCGGTGATATTTCTTACTAGCCAAACAGAATCCAACACAGTAACTATTTGGCCAATTGGCCCTTCAAACCTGTTCTGCCATTCAGTATGATCATGGCTGATCATCCAACTCAGTCCCCTGTTCCTGTCTTCTCCCCGGATCCTTTGTTCCCTTTAACCTTAAGGACTATATCTCAAACTTTCTTGAGACATTCAATCATTTGACCACAATGGCTTTCTCTGGCAGAAAATTCCACACGCTCACCACTCTGTGGGTGAAGAAAGTTTCTCCTCATCTCAATCCAAAATGGCCTAGCCTGTTTCCTTACGCTGTGATCCCAGGTTCTGGATGGTCCAGTCATCGGGAACATCCATCATGTGTTCACCCTGTCCAGTCCTGTTCGAACGAAGGAAAAGTAGCATGTCTCATGAGGTACTGCAGCTTGGTGGGGGGGGACGGGGGTTGAATCAGTAAAAGTAGGAAAGGAGTGGGTTTACAGTACAACTATCACCTTGTTCAGAGGCAATACTCTCATTACTTTTTAGTCAGAAGGCCAGAGATGCTTGCAGCATTTAAACACACTGCTAAAACTGACTTTTCAATATAGGATTGAGGGAGTGCTGCAGTTTTGACAGTGCCATCTTTAAAATGAAAAGTGGAAAAGTCCTGTCTGCCTGGTCCGGTGAATCGGAGAGATCTTGTGGCATATTCCACTGTCGAGTAGAAAGCTTTTTGAGAGTTTCAGCTGGTATTTATCCCTCAACTAATAACACCAAAGCTACAAGTGGGATCTTTCTCTGTGCTAACTGGCTGCTCTGTTTCCTAACGTAGCAACAGCAAAACAGCCCTCTATAAATGCTTCGTTCTTGTACATCAGCAGGTTTGTATATTTGGTCACAAGGGTAAATCAGAATTGAACCAGTCACTACTCAGGATCACTGTTTATGATCGAAGGTTCAGCTCTGGTCTTCCATATCACTGAGGATCCCTGTTACTTATAGTTATCTTTCTAAAATAAACAAAAAGCTTTCCAATTGTGGGATCTGCATTTTTTAAAAACAGTTACCAAGGGCCAACCGGGATTTGTAAACTCAAATTCGCTCGAATGTACCCATCCCGCAAGCATGTGAACCATAAACCTGGTTGTTAAAGTGAGCAGTAAACTTGCCATTGCACTGCACGATGCCATTTCTTTCACTCGTAACATCACTTCTTGACTAAAGGTTGTTGGCCAGAAGACTTGAGACACCAGTCCCCTACTGCACGCTTCTTGTGCGGTTAACTTTCTCCCACAAAACAGCATTTCATTTGCCTGAAAGAGGAAGATACAGTTTTGTAATTGTTTGTTTCTTGCCTTTAAAAAAAGTCGTCTCCCGCATTTTCACGAAGTAAATGCAATAACATTAGTAGCGACACAAAAATGGTCTCAAGAGGCGCAGTACAAAGTCAGAACACAAGCCTTGAGGTTAAAAATGATTGTGAATGTTCACAGTCTAAAAATAGAAACAGAAAGAAATGCTCGACTGGTCAGTCCCTGTTTGAAATAAGGTACTGGCTCTGTGTCGTGGTATTATTTTTTGATACCCCATTTATCCTTCAATGCTTTATTCAAATGACCAAATCACATGCAAGCCTAAGCATGTCTGCCTTCTATTTTAAGGTGGTTCAGAGGCATCACAGCTGAACAATAACAAGATGAATAGTTCCCTTAAATGCCAAGGGTCTGAAGTGCTCCGTCCTGCTGCTCTTTCCCCATGCCCCCAAATCAGACGACAGAACAGCAAACCGGGTCCTACTGGTTTCACCACCCACCAGACCAACCAGTGGATGCACTGGGGAAACTGTGCGTATTGGCCACTTCCTTGTCAAGGTCTCATGTCACTGGAGGAGCCGTGTGTCAGGAGAAGTGCTGCACTATCAGGTCAGAGGGGAAGAAAAACAGGTACAGCAGCAAACTGCAGGCAGTCAGCTTGATTTCCTGGCTGGCAGATAATCCACTCTGCTGATACTTCTATCTGCACTCTCATGTGGACATAAACATTCCTGTGACATGGTTCTGAAGCAGAGCTGGTGTCTTGGCCAATATTTACACCCTAAACACCATCACTACTTCGTCATCATGCAGCATGAAAACTGGTTGTCACGTTTCCTTACTGAACTCCAAAAGCAACCCCGTGGTTCTAAAGGAAACTCTCAGGTTGTGAAAGGTGCTAGATAATATTACACCACACTGAGGTTGTGCATTGGAAATCAAGTCCCATTAATGCCAGAGTCACCGTAACAGTTAAATTTTATTGTATTATTGAAATACCCAATTTATCTGAATCTGACAGGTAAAAATACTGACCAGCTCTCTGTACTTAACATGGATTTGTACATAAAATTACATTCTAACTACAGGTAAACGACTACAAACTATTCATATAACTCTACTAGTTAAAACTCTAACCACCTTCTAAAATCCCACTACAGGCAGACAAAAAAACACTGGTATCATAACCAGTAGAAGCCAGTAGGACCCAGTTTGCTGTTCTGTCGTCTGATTTGGGGGCATGGGGAAGGAGCAGCAGGACGGAGCACTTCAGACCCTTGGCATTTAAGGGAACTATTCATCTTGTTATTGTTCAGCTATGATGCCTCTAAACCACCTTAAAATAGAAGGCAGACATGCTTAGGCTTGCAGAAAAGAAAATACTGGAGAAGCAGGTATACAAGACTATGGGCCAATTGCTGGAAAATGGGATTAGAATAGTTAGGATAACACAGTGTGGAGCTGGATGAACACAGCAGGCCAGGCAGCATCACAGGAGCAGGAAAGGTAGCATTTCAGGTCGGGACCCTTCTTGGCCGGCACAGACTCGATTGGCTGAAAGGCCTATTTCTGTGCTATTTATGATCTCCATGATGTCACGCCTCTAATAGCACCAGTCCTCAAGGTTCAATGGAGTTCTCTAGCTCCCTGAGCTTTACCTTTGGGTTCTTTCACTTTTTCACAGAAGGCACAGAGTTACTGGTTCACAAATTATAAAGTCTCTGACTTTCTGGTTAAAAGCAAAACTTTACAACAACGAGAGATATCAGGAACTGCCGATGCTAGAGAATCTGAGATAATAAGGTATAGAGCTGGATGAACAGAGCAGGCCAGGCAGCATCAGAGGAGCAGGAAAGCTGACGTTTCGGGTTTGGACTCTTCAGCTTTCCTGCTCCTCTGACGCTGCCTGGCCTGCTGTGTTCATCTAGCTCCACACCTTGTTATCTCATTTTACAACAATGGTTGGGATTAAGTAACAATTCGCTTTCTTTAGCTTTGGTCAGTTTACTGGAGATAAAAGACACATCACCTCCCCTTCCAGAGGTCTGAGAGCTTCTCGCTGTATTGGTCACAACCACAAGCTGTTCAGCTGCCCATGAGCCAATTAGGTAATTATTATCAGGCTGATGACCTTTGACATCCACAATAGGTCTCAATTCCACAAACCAATCATCAACCTGTTGCCAACTGAGTCTCACTCTGTATATACAACCTAGTGTAGTGCCATCTCCTCCTACACCTTCCCCCATGTCAATGCAACCCACAAACAGTTCCAGTAACTTGCTGTTCAAAATTCCAGCAATTCCTCTGTTGTAAAACAGTCCTTTTCTCAACTTATTCCACGGTCAAAAATAAGTAGAAGAAAAAATGTGGTTTTTAAAATAAATGCAGGCCATTCTTTTGTCTTGAGGTATAGAGATAAGTAGATCAAAGACTAGCTTTTTCTCTTCAATTCTGCAGCCTAACACAGCAGGAACTGTGTTGTAGCTGGAACACTCCTTAAGTGACACAGCCTTAAGGTTTTGAGACAACAAATACAAACTTTGTGGAAGCACTTCTTTGTGGTGTGTAACTTCATCTGGTAACGACACCCTGGAGAGAGCAGCTTTTATAAATTTAGGGTCTTGCCATAACGCTTGAGCAAAGCAGTGCTCATAATTCCTATAAACAATCTCAATGCCTTATAGTTCAAGACCACTCTGTATTGTATAATACCTGACAATACAACAGTATGATCTAGCAGTACAACAATATTATCCCTTAGTGGTCTGAGCTGACTTTTATACCCATTGCTTTGGAAGTCTTGGCAAGGTTACCAAGATGAAAAGAATCAGTTCTGACGAATTTTACTTATTTAAATCAATATGATTTACTTTTCCTTAATAATACAAAATGTTAAGTACACTGTGCCTCCTCAAAGCAGGAATTGTCAATTTAAACAGGTTAATTCCTGATGACGAAGAAACATTTATTACTGCTTTTTTTAGTGGCTGACTAGCTTTCTGCTTTCAGAGCTCTCAGCTCCTGCTTACGTCTTGGTCTCTACCGCATCTCCCAATATTCATTTCGAGAAAGGGACAAAAGGTTTTCCAATGAAAAGTCTGAAGTATTGTTTTGACAGGTTTAGGAATCGCTCATTAATCACCATCCACAATAAACCAACAAAGACATTTGTCAATAAGCATCCTATTCTTGCAAGAATAGAGAATGATTTCAAACACAACACTTAAACGTAACCAATGTTTCCCTAAAATCTAATCTGTGAAGGAATGGTCAAAACATCTCAAAATGTGACACTTGCATCTGACCACGGTTTTTTTTCTGTCAGTGGGGAGTTTGACATAATTGGAAGCCAAATGCCAAACCAAACTATGGGTCATGCTTGCTCGCTGCGCACTCTCTCCAATAAAGAGATGGTTCACTTGTGGAAACATTCGTCTTTGCAATAGTCCAGACAACAGTCTTGTAACCTGCAGCAAATACGCCACATGACAAAGGTCTAAAAAAAGAACTAAGTTATGTTGGCACTGAAATGTTCATCACAAGCACATAACAGCTAGGAGCAGGAGCAGGCCATTCAGCCCCTCGAGCCTACTCCACCATTCAATACAATCATGGGTGATCTCATCTCAGCCTCTACTCCATTTTCCTGCCCACTCTCCATAACTCTTCAACCCATTACTAATTAAATATCTGTCAATCTCTTCCTTAAATTTACGCAGTGTCTCAGCATCCAAAACACACTGGGCTAGTAAATTCCACAGATTTGTGACTCCATGAGAGAAGTAATTTCTCCTCATCTCTGTTTAAATCTGTTACCCCTTACCCTGCAACTATGACCTCTTGCTCCAGACTGTCCCACATGAGGAAACATCTGCTTTACATCTACTTTGTCTATCCCCTTTAGCATCATATATATCTCAATTAGATCTCCTTTCATTCTTCTAAACTCCAGACATATAGGCCCAAACTGCACAATCTCTCTTCAGAAGAGAACCATTATGTTGCACTTTACCATTTCAAATGATTATTTTAATGAAAAACATCATTGTCCTCTAAATGAACCAGTTCTAGTGGTATGGCCACACCATGGTCATAGATAATGCACAGTTCTGAATGGGTGGCCAGAATCATTTTATTAATCAACAGGTGAAAAGATTATCTTAACTCTATGCGCCCTGTTAAAAAGTTTATTTCAAAGCTGACTTTACTGACAAAATGATGCTAAAGCAAAGCCAACAAAACTCTAGAACTCAAAATCAGGTTGACTTTAACATCACTATGCTTTAAACCCATAATTAAATTCAATGCCTACATTTTATTTGTCTACACAAATTACACGGGCTATGGGAGACAGCTGGCAATCTGCAAACTTTTTTGTTCAGAAATGCTGAATTTTTGTCGTGCTGCCCCGAATAGATATCAACTTTACGCAACTCTTAAAGACAAAGTATGTCCCTCCAGTGCATAAAAGAAATGGCTGCTGGACTCTGTTCTAGATTGAACAATGTCATGCACTAGAATGTGCCTACCGGGCCACCATTGGCAACAATGACCTTTGTCACACTCCAGTCATCAAAAGCAGCCAGGGGTATTGTGTATCTGCTGACTTAGCATTCAGTGGAGTTGCAGCTTTAACTTCACCCATTGCTGCTTTTAGCCTACGCTCCGAGGTCCATGGCAGTGACTCCTGGACCCTCTGAACGGCTGCATGGCTGTGCAACGTTGAGAGAAAGTTACTTTCAACTGTTGTTTGGTCCACTTGCACTGGTTGGTCCAACCTCATGTCCATCAGCTCTAGGGTCTATACCATGTCAAAGTCAACAGACAATGCAAGCATGAACTGGAGATAACACAAGCATTTTGATCAGCTAAATCAAGACCAGAGATTAGGTGGGAACACTAAGCAGGTAAAGGCAGTGTCTGCAGAGAGAACATTATCCCTTCAAGGGTGGAACTTTGAAGAAAATATAAGGTGGGGAACAGTAAGTACACGTATTTTTACAGTTAACGAGAAAGGTTATTTGCTTAAGCCAAGAACTCACTAGAGCGACTCCCATTATCTGGGGAAAGGTGTACGATGAACATCCAGCAGGCGTTAGACGTATAGTCGCATACGGAGTTTGGAACCATGCTTTTTCACTGGCCCATACAATATCACAGAGCGGGAGAATAGAGGCTCCCAGTCCCAGAGCTGGTCCATTGACTGCTACGACAATGGGTTTCTTAAACTGAATGAAGGCATTCACAAAATCCCTGGAAGAAGAGAACACAGCAAAAAAGAAACATCCATTAGTAAGCAATAACAGATAGTTCCTGTTGAGCTTAGTATTGTTTCAGGTTAGTCTGGGAGCTGGAGTACAATTTCTGACATTGTATATGCTGGCTGCCTCCAGTCAGCTTTACTGCAGTCTCCACATTCTCATCCCAGATCAGCAATAAAGTGAAAGGGAAGCAATTTTAAACTTCATCAACCACAGACTGGATAAAGCACTGAAGCAGGCCATTCAGTCCGTCATCTCTATATTGGCTCTTCACAATATCCCAGCTCGTTCAGGCCTATGCCTTTCCCATTGGCATTGCAAATTCTCCCTCTTCAGATAATTATCTAGTTCTCTTTTGAAAACCACCACTGAATCTGTCTCCGCAACACTCTCTGACATTGCGTTGCAAATCCTAATCACTCATGTGTAATCAAAGATTTACCACAAGTCATTTGGGTTCTTTTGCTATTTATTTTAAATTGGGGTCCTCTGGTCCACACAGTCTGCTACTGAGAACAATTTCTCCCTATCTTCTCTGTCCAGATCCCATGTGATTTTGAATAACTTGGCCAAATCTCTCGACCTCCTCTTCTCTAAGAACAACAGCTTGCAGCCTCTCCAACCTCTGCACAGCCAAAGTCCCACAATTCTGGATCCAATTTTGGGAATCCCGCCTGCACCCTCCGGTGCCTTCACCCCCTTTCTAGATGATGGCACCCAGTGTTGGCCAAACTAATGCCTCATGAATGTTCAGCACAACTTCCTTTTGTGCTTGAGACCATTATAAAGGCCAGGATACCATTGGCCTTCTGAATCTTCTCGCTTCCTTTAGAATTGTACCCTGGATTTTATACCATTTCTCCCTGTTCTGCCTATTAAAATATGTCACTTCATACTTCTCTGTACTGAATTTCATCTGTCATACGTTCTCTCATTTACCAGCTCATCTCTGTCGTCTTCAAATTCATCATTGCCCCTCATAGTTAACCGGCACAAGTCCAAAAGATGACTGTTCTCTATGATTCAGTTTCCTGCCAGTTAGCCAATCTCCTATCCATGCTGCCACCGTCTCTTTCATTCCCCGTGCTTTCACTTTGCTGACAAGCCTGCTATGTGGCAGCTTAATTAATTCTTTTTTGGAAGTCTACGTACACCACACCAGCTGCTTTATCTTCATTCACTCTCTCGTTATCTCATCAGAAAGCTCAGTTCAGTTAAACAAGCATAATGTGTCCTTAACAAAACCACACCGGCTTTCCTGAAGTGACTTGTCCAAGCGATAGTTCATTTTGGTCCTGATTATCATAGTCATCCAGCACGGAAACAGACCCTTTGGTCCAACTTGTCCATGCTGGCCAAGTTTCCCAACCTAAACTAGTCCCATTTGGCCCATATTGTAGTAACTGGTCGATAGTCACTGGCATTATCCTTGCCTCCTTTTGTGGACAAAGGTGTGAGCTGCTGGGGTTAGCCCTGCCAAAGGGAATATTGGCAGCCTTGCAGCCATTTAACTGCTAATTATCTATTTCAGGCTGGAGCTGGGATTTCATAGAATCCCTACAGTGTGGAAACAGGCCCTTCGGCCCAACAAGTCCACACCGACCCTCAGAGCATCCCACCCAGACCCATCCCCATCCCCCATTAACCCCCCCTAATCTAGGCATCCCTTGAACACTATGGGCAATTTAGCACAGCCAATCCACCTAACCTGCACATCTTTAGACTGCGGGAGGAAACCAGAGCACCCGGAGGAAACCCACGCAGACATGGGGAGAATGTGCAAACTCCACACAGACAGTCGCTCGAGGGTGGAATCAAACTCGGGTCCCTGGCGCTGTGAGGCAGCAGTGCTAACCACTGAGCCACCGTGCCGCCCAGGACCAGAATTCACCAGGCTGATGCAAGGCAAGGGTTAACACTCATTGAGCCTGGCACCTTAGACCACTCGACTATCCTGACAAGCTGCACATTTCATTAAACACATTATGAAACTAAGAATAGCAGGACAGGTGATGTGCAACTGTTCTTTCCTCGTGATCTGAAGGGTCTGTATCATGTGAAGGTCAAGGAATATAGAAAATGTGAGATAAGAGATATTTTCATTAGTTAAAACAAGACCAGGAAATAGTGGGAAACACACAACAGGTAAAGGTAGTATCTGTGGAGACAGCAGAGACATTAACTCTTCAAGGATGAAGCCTTCAAAACATAAAGTAAGGAACAATACATACAGATACGTACTTATACAACTAACGGGGTGGTTCTCTCTTTGAGCCAAGAATTTTCAGCGAATCCCATTATCTCCTGAATGCTAGCTGAGTTCGTGTTTACAGCTTAAGCAGCTTCAGTTGACAGTTTATGAGCTGGAGGGTGAACTACAGATGCTGACACATCAGACAGGGTCCTAATTAGCCTAATTTTCTGATTCACTTTAGAAACTCTAGCTTTCATACCCCTACAATTGCCCTCACTTGTGTTCAAAACTTAAGTATTAGACTCACTCTTCTCTCCCTCAGACTGAATACCAAATCTAATCATAAAATGATTGTTGCCACTGAGGGTGCCTTCAATAATCCTGTATCAGAGATAGTAGGAACTGCAGATGCTGGAAAATCTGAGATAACAAGGTGTAGAGCTGGATGATGCTGCTGCTTGGCCTGCTGTGTTCATCCAGCTCTACACCTTGTTACCCCTTCATTAATCCTCCCTTGTTTTACAAATAAATAAACAGTCTGCTCTGCGGTCGGCTTCACTATATACTGTTCTAAGAAACTATTTATCTCAAAACATGCAATGGGCTCCTTATTGAGGCTACCTACGCTAATCTGACTTTACCAGTCTCTACTGATTAACACTTTACCTTTCTGACAAACCTCCACTAATTCTTCCTTTATACTGCATTCTAATATGCGGGTAATGTCAGGGGGCCTGTCTGCTGGTCCTGCATGTGCTATGGATAATGGGGTGGGGGGGGGGGGGGGGGGGGGGGGGGGGGAAAAAAAAAAACAAAACAAAAAAAAAAATTGGTGAATGCACTATACCTGGATTTCCAGAAGACATTTGATAAGGTGCCATATCAAAGGTTATTGTAGAAAATAAAATCTCCTGGTGTGGGGCGTAACACACTGGCATGGATAGAAGGGGATTACCAACCAATCAGATCTCTAGGAAACTGTCATTACCTTGTTTGCTCTATATGTGACTCCAGACCCACAACAGTGTGGTTGACTCTGAACAGCCCTTCAGGCAGTTAGGGAAGGACAAAATATGCTGGCCCAGCCAGCAATGCCCACATAAATTAATTAAAAAACGGAATTCAACTTGGAGCTTGTACTGTGTTGCTTTCTCCATGGTAACACCTCGACCAACGACTTGGCAGACAAGAACAGGGATTCACAAGAAACTGCCTTGAAAGTGAATGAAGCAAGGACCATTACATAGTTAAGAGAAATCATACAAATATTTCAAGTTGAGAAAGATATAATGATGCAGAGAGAGAGAAAGAGAGAGAGACACAGAGAGTGAGAGACAGAGTGTTGGCTAATGGAATTCCTTTGAGTTATGCTAGCTAGCACAGATATGATGGGCTAAGGGCCACCTTCTGTGATTTAGAACTTTTTTTTAATAGTTTGACTTAAATAAAAGATAAACGGAAATAAAATTCCTCATTTGGAGTCCATCAGGTGGAACAGATGGGATGCTTAATTTAGACCGTATACAAAAATGCAGATAATTAAAATGTGCATAATTCAATAAAATTCACCAACAGGATCAACAAAATTGATGACGTAGGAAAAGCCTTGCAGGTTTTGAACTGGTGATAGAAAGCTGTTAGTAACTGGCTCTGGATCCTGCTGACACACTTGGCAAAATGTCAACGATTGAATTGGTGGATACTGAAACACAGCCCAGCTGCTTACTCAGACACAGTGACCTTAACAAATTATACTATAGCCAGAAATTGCACTGACTGAGCATTCTACCTGAATGATTATTCAACGTTCAGATGTTGGCTAGTAAGCTGTACATTCCCAAGATACTGTATTTTAGATTTGCTGCACTCACAGGGTTTATTTTTTGTCTTTTTTGCTCAGGATTATTAGCTTATTGATGATCATATTTCTGAATATTAATGCACAATAATTTACAGACCACAGCTAAATATAATTTCCAACAACCACAAAACCAGGGGTGCAATTTGCGTAAAGAGTTGCTGACCAGTCCAATCCTTTGAAAGGGTTGGAGTTCCAGCCAAGTACAATGATCTAAGTGACTCTTAAGAGCATCGTGTTGATGTACTCGAGAGATTCTCCAAAGTGCAACTGAAATCTTAATAACTCGCTTTGTAACTTTTGCACTCTACCAGAACAAACAACGATTTTGTTTTAAATGAAATGTCTGCCTTTCCTGTCATTGTTACCAACTTTAGTCTCAACATTTCCATCGATAAGTATTCAATTAGCTGTTATAAAAATAGGGCTCTGAACAAATTAATAAATATTTTGATGGAAGAGATTGGTTCAATTTCCGATCTTTGATGGATTTTCCTCACCATTCACAGATTTTTGCTCTCTGCTTGTGAAGAACAGAAAGTGCGCGCATGTGTAAATTTTTTGGAATGTTACTAATACATTTCCCCCCCCGTTGGTTATACACTTCAGCTCCATTTTAGAGACATATTTAGTTAAACTGTTCAGAGATGTTAGGACACACCTCTGGGGCAGGTAGGGACTTCAACCCCAGGCCTCCTGAACCAGAGGTAGGGACACAACCTCTGTGTCACAACGGTCTATTTTCTTTTTATGCTGAATATGTACATTGAATCCTGCTGGAAACTTGTTAATCAACCTGTTGAGAAGTGTTATGACGCATCTCTGGAGGACAGATGGGACTGTAACATGGACAATCTGGCTCAGAGGTAAGGATGCTACCACTGCACTACAAGACCCTAAACTCCAATTTATATTGAGCAACGGAAAGTACAGGACTATA